ATCCAACATGATACAACTTTTGGGAATCTTGAAGCATGGTAATTGTTCATCCGATTTCTATATGTTTAATAATACGTGTTATTCTGTGATGCCACCACGAGATTCACAACGTATATTGTTGACTTCCGTGATGAAATAAGCGGTCATTGTTCTTTGTTGACCCACGCTACTAATATGAATTGTTTCACAAGTCCTCAATTATTGTGTCCAACTTTTGTCCAGTTATGCGACTCCACATAGTCGGTTGAAGCGGCGTTTATGCGTCTTCTGTCTAGAACTATTAGTCACTACTAGTAAAAGTATTTGGGTTGGTTTGAAAATCAACCATACATGGGGTTCGGTAAGTAATATATATATATATATATATATATATATATATATATATATATATATATATATATATATATATGATAATTTATGAAAACCATTGAAAATCCATGATGACTGCCGTCTCTTTCTGTATTGTTGTTTTACGTTTTTTCTCTTCCTTAGAGTCATCTACTATCCGAAGATAATTCTTTACAAACAGTTGAAACTAATTTAATAGATTTTTCTAGGCTTTTTCAACATAAGGACAGTAAAGCGATTTCACTAAATAAGGACACTAATCAATCATATTTTGATTGTTTCACTATGCCAATTCATGATGGTAATTTGATACAAATGTCTAATTGTTCAATGCATTTGGAAAGCATTTGTTCATACAAACTTGGTAAGGTTTATGGTAATTTATCTCGATTATGTAATTTTATGTGATGTTTATGTGCGTGTACTCTACTCAGTGAATTGATTTTAATTATATAATCAAGGCTAATAATCCATTCGTGTTCTGGACACAACTTAATATACAGTACCAGATTCGACACTGAAAAGTGCTAATCAAAAGTGAAGTTCCTTGACCAGTAGACCATTGCTGCATTGTCAGAGTACTATGTGCATATATGATAGTACAGTATGGCGTTATTGATCAATACATCCCACTTCCAAACAATAGGTCAGACTCCAACTCTGCACTACCGTCTCATCGACACTTCGATGTGACTGATCTCAGTCCTAAGACCCGTAGTATTTTACCACTGCCTATCTTTATCTCACTTTTAGCGGAATATAGACTGGATTAGAGTACCTTCCGTGTAGGATTGTGTTTTCGCACATTGGCTATTTCGTATCCAATCAGCGCTAGTGGATATTTGGAAAAAACTCTTCTCATGCAAAGACTGTAAGTATACTAACGTTTTTCTTATTGTGCCTCCTAATTCCATCTACCCTCATTAATTGGAACATAATTTCGTTCCTGTTTCAATCGTGTTCTGATATGGGGACTTGTTGAGTGAATTGGTTTCCAAGATTAGTAAGCAATAGGAATAGCTGGGTCGCAATAGGAGTAATTATAACATTTTGTATTTTTTTTTAAAATCCCCATCTATTTTATTTCATCAGATTTTACTGTTTACTATTTCAATATTATTCTATTATTCGTATATATATGCTGGGCTTGTTCACTATTATTTATTCTAAAAATTAGATCTCGTGTTATTCAGCAGTGAATTGATTTGTTTGTATTAAAATCGAAGTAGAATATTTTCTGACTGCATGTAGAAATTTGTTTACCTAACCTTGTTGATTTTACGTTCTTTGAGCTGAACGACTTAGTCACGATGCATGTTTTGTCTTTTCTGACAACATATCAGTATAAACTTCAGTTAAAAGTGGATACACGATATGTGGGCCACATTTGCTGTGTTTTTGCCTATGGGAAGCTGAGTGACTGATTTTAATTATGTTATACGTATGTTTTAATCAGGTGTCTTATCTATTAATATTTCCATGTATTTGCAGATTGATTGAGTCTTTTTTGAGTAGTGAGTGGCTAGTACGTGACATTTCATACACAAGTTTCATTCATTCCGTAGTCATTGGAACGACCTTAAACTGTATTGTTAATTCTCTCAGCCGTTGTGTATCAACAACGATAATGTATAAATCCTTTACTCAGTAACACATATGTTACTCTTATTAAACATATGGCAGTTACAAACAGTTTAATGTTTATATTCACTATTTAAATATACAAATGTATCACAACTCTCAAAACATATTCTTACTGGTTTTGCATATTGATTAATTTGTACGTTTCACGTTAAGCAAATTGATTTTATGTATTTAATTATTTTATGTTTTAACTGTTTTTTTATTATTTTAAGATGATTCATTGATTTTTTTTGTTTCAAATAACATATTCATTTTTATCATTCAGCCATTTATCTTGTTTATACAGTACTGAGATAATTTTTGTTAGTTTTTGTTCTAGTAATTATGAGACCACGTTCGCGTTTATATCCAATGCATTTTCCTTTGAAAAATTGTTGGTCAATGAATTCATTTTGTCTGAGTTGCGTTCTTTAGGTTAGATGGATTAATTGCTGAGTTTACATTCACTTTAGAAGAGTTGAAACCCGCTACCACAGTTTTGTTACACGGAAACTTGTAGAAAATATTTTCTATCCGTTTTCCGTAAGCATAGGTACTCTAAAAATTTCTTTAAGTGGTGTCTACCAATCCAATATACTGTCAAAGTACCAACACTGGAGACCAAGAGTGACAGATTTCCTAAACTATTACGAGAAATCTGAAATTCTTTTTTATAGACATCGTCGCATACGAGCCAACATATTCAAATGATCCCATTCTATGTATTCTGAATTACAGAACAGGGAGAGAAAGCGAATTCAAAGTAATCTGCAAAATAAATTATACCAGTTGCGAGAAATACTACATTTAACACATTGGATATATCCTTTATTTATGCATACATAAACATATGTTAGCAATGAGATGACACGATGCACTGTCTCTTATATCCATGCATGTAGTCAACCGTGAATATGAATCCGATTGGAGATACGTCGAAATTTCGTATTGGAAGTACTATTAGAATGCCGGGATTGGCATGTTGTTAAGATCAGTCACTAACCACCAGGCATATTGACATTGACCCAATCCATGCACTCATACAGGAGATCCCAGTCAGCAAATTTAGTCCGTCTGAACCCAGTAATAAGTGAAGATAACTTACCCAAGACATCCGATTACAAAGAAAATCGTCATAGCGTGCTCATATAATATTGACTGGGAAACTTACTTCCACGTGAATTAGTCTCTGAAGATGGATAAAAATGAATGCGCTGTAATTAAATCATTTAGCTTGTCCATCTAAACTGCAAATTTTCTCTATCATATTAAAACTAATCAATGATTTACATATCTAGTGACTCAGTTACATTCACCCCTGAATATATTGAGTTGCAATATTTCATTTGTGTGTATTTTTCATTCTGGCTTTCTGATGCATTATTCTCAATGTTTAGTAATTTTCAGTATTGTTGATACCAGTACATTGTTTCGACTCTCTTGTCATTAATCTTGTAAATCTCACTTCATTGTACTAATGTGTTATGACAACATGGACTAACACACATGTATGCCAATCTCTACGTTGATTATATCTAAGTGATGCATACCTAAAAGAATTGAATTTACAGAATAAATTATCCATTAACAACTGTCAGCTTTGATACCACAAACTTATATGCCTTTTTGGCTTTACAATTTTAATTCTCATTTTGACGCGGCAAACCCATTTGAATCTAGAAAGTTACATATTCTCTGTATCGAAGTATTATTTGGTTAGTCAACCATATATGCTAATCCTTTGTGTAATAAAATGCCTTTTCTCTTCGAGACAACAAAATGTTCTCTCGTAAACGACCACGACTCTGTCGAATATACTGTATCCCTTCATGTATCACTTATCTCTTACTTCGTTAATTAATTTATATTATCGCTAGATTTGTACCTGTTGTTGAGGGACACACTCAGGCTCTATTCGTCGAACAAGGAAATAGCATGACTTTAACCATCCTTCTTTTAAATTTCACAAGCAGTAACTACATGGATACTCCACATTCTCTTCAGCAAAATTTGGGATAAAGAACAAGTACCAACAGACTGGAAAGGACACCTGATCAAGATATCAAAGAAAGGCGATCTCAGCAAGTGTGAGAACTAGAGAGGCATCATTCTTCTCTCAATACCAGGAAAAGTCTTCAACAGGGTATTGTTAGACAGAATGAAGAACTCTGTATACCCCCAATTTTGAGACCAACAAACTGGATTCCGTAAATACCGATCGTGTACAGACCAAATCGCAACACTACGGATCATTGTGGAACAATCAATTAAATGCAATTCATCGCTCTACATCAACTTCATTGACTACGAAAAAGCATTTGATAGCGTGGACAGAACAACACTATGGAAGCTTCTTCGATACTACGGCGTGCCTCAGAAGATAGTCAATATCATACAGAATTCCTATGATGGACTAAACTGCAAAATCGTACAAGGAGGACAGGTCACAAACTCGTTCGAAGTTAAGACCGGTGTCAGGCGGGGTTGCTTACTCCCACCCTTTCTCTTTATCCTGGTGATCGACTGGAAGATGTAAAAACCTTTACATATTTGTGCAGCATCATTGATGAACAGGGTGGGTCTGATGCAGATGTGAAGGCGCGGATTGGCAAAGCATGATCAATATATTTACAACTGAAGGACATCTGGAGCTCAAAGCAACTGTCAACCAACACCAAGGTCAGAATTTTCAATACACTTCTGATTACATGTTAGTCTTTAAGCGTTCCAGTCACAAATATACAATATTGACTCAAATCGGTAACTCAGTTTTCAGTTATTATTCTCTCCTGCATGTGAGAATTACATGTAGTTCTTTAGCGGCATACCAGCATTCCTACAGTCCACTGGTTATCAACAAAAAGTGCCGTTCTTGTTGTCAATATATCTCTTTTATGTAAATGCAAAGCGGACTAAAAGTTCTGTAAGAATTTAGAAGATAGACGAGCTTAAAACAACCTTGACGTGTTTTAGTCAGTAGTTAGCCTACTAAAAATTAGCTTTTGTAAATGAATAGTTTATGGAAAAAGATAAATAGTATTATAAAGTGTAATGAGATATTACGTAATTAGTGAATGCATCAAAGTTTACTAAAGGCTGTCTTGTCTATAAATTGAAAATAATAACGACATGAGTATCCATTTATATGCATATAGATTATTCGTTTTCTCAAACCATTATACGGACACAAATAGATTTTTGGAAGTTCCCATGATCCTGGTTACGGTTAGGGATTAACCATCAAATCTAAGATTAAGTGTTTAAGAACAGAGTTTACTTCAGTGTTATACACAATCCAAACATAAATATTTCAATGTTTTATACACTTAACACCTTTAGTTGGAATTACCCAGTTCTTCGCTGTCTTTTTAACTTTGTGAGCACTATTTCAGCTGCTCACTTATTGGATACTTCATAGATTTCATTCACCATAGCACCTCATGAAATGATTAGAAAGTCGTTCCCTCTTTTGTGACCATCCCTTTCCTATAATTTATTCTTTAATAACCGTTTCGTTTCCATTGTTTACACAAACGCTTGTCGAATGATAGCTACAGCGAGATATTTTCACAATCGATTGGTGGAGTAATATTGACCTATCAAACAAATTATTGATGTAGTTAACACGATGTGGGGAAGTGTAGGAATGCTGAATTCCTGCATTTTACCGAGGCAGAGACGTAACAATATTAACAAGTAAAGTGATTAAATTTGATAGAAATGAAATGTAATATTGAGAACATCCATAGTCTAGGAAGTTATCAAACAGTATTGACATGACTGATTAACGTAAAAACAATGAGCGGTTGCCACGTTTCTGATCATCATTTTTGTTCTATTCTCGTAAAAATCAACTTTTAACTATCATCTTAAACAACTATACAAAGTTTTTTCTACTGATTGTTTTATGTAATAAAATCCATTCATTTTTGAGTGTATCGCAATAACCTACTAGATGTTTTCTCGATTCTTATCGGTTTATCCGTTTGCTATACTTTTTCCAAAATTTCTTTTACAAATAATAGACCTTAAATATTTTCTACCAAAAGTAAACAGAAGAAAAACTTGATTTTGGTGTGATAAAGCTTAACATCCACTCTGCATTATATAGACCAAGTCGTGTGAAGACAACCGCATTGTCACATTTTATTACAATCATTGTTATTAGTTTTACTATTATTACAAAGCATTTTTCTCTTATCTTGTATACTCACCATGTCTACACTATTTATGTGCTTAGTTTAACAACTTAAATAAGCTAAACAATAGGAAATGAGGTCATTTTTAAAGAAAATTACAATAGTAACATTTTGTGTTATTATTGTTATAATGTTTTCGCGTGTGTGTCGACGAGTCTTCATAACATGACTAAAGAAATATGAAGTCACTATTAGGTTACGAGTATTTGATCATAAGTAATGTTATCTTAACAATGTAGACTGAGTAATATTAGTAGCAAATTAGTTGATAAGAAAATAAACCTGTGTTATAACTCTCTCTTCTTACGGTTATGACCCAGCTATTCCTATTGCTTAGTATTCTTGGACACCGATTCACTCGACAAGTCCCTAAATCAGAACACGGTTGAACAGGAAGGAGATTATATTCCAAATAACAAGGTTAGATGGAAGCAAGAAGCAAGTCAGAAGCACAATAGGGAAAACGTCAGTATATTTATAGTTTTTACATAAGAATATTCCAGAGTATTCTCCAACTATCGACTAGTGCTGATTGGATAAGAATTAGCCAATCAGCGTGCACCAAAGCAGTCATGCACTGAGCATGCTTTAATCTAGTCTATGTCCCGCTAACAACCTTCATATTCGGTTGTGGTACTTAGAATATCTTTTAGAAAAGCCCAAACACTACGTAGCTTGATATGTAATGTGCTGGGTACAGGAATTTGAAAAGGTTGGAAGAAAGTTTGAGATATCCAAAACACAAGACATGGAACCAGTTTATGAAGAAGTCGAAGTCTACGGGTAAGAACCATGCCAATAGATACAAACCTCTTCATTTGATTCCATGGGATAATGATTATTTATGATTGAAAACATTAAGTAACGTATCATGCCACGGTGATCATGTGGCTACTTAAGTTTTGGAAATAATGCTAAAATTTTATTGGTAACTGTTACCACAAATGCTTTTATCCTAATTTAGTTTTTTCCTCTTCTCTGGGTGATTATCAAAACTTTTACCTGATTTCCTGTATGCTTGCTAGTCATGCTTTCGATTTTAATTTGTCCTACTTGAATATTAAGTTCCTTCTACACTTTGTCTTCTTCCTGTGTTAACGCCATAAGTTTTGTGTGCCAGCTGTTCTTATCAAGTCTGTAATAAAAGCGTTTTTATTAAAGTAGCTCAACTGTTCCTCAGTTCGTTTGTATCGTAGGCCGACAGTAAACCTCAATAGACATAATCGTTCTTGTTATAATTTAACAATATCTCAAAATCAGTTTAATGTGTTACGTTCACTATTTATAAGGTTATCTTCGCTTAAACGTTGAACTTTGTACCATTTTCTATACGTTTGTGAAATCTTTCATTTTCATTCAGTTTTTGTTAACCATATTTCTGCATTTAACTTTCCGTTACTAATATACATATACATATATATACTGTTAGTTTTCTCTTTCGTTGAGCTAGTAGGAAGTGTAATAAGAATCTAGAGTGCAAACACTCGTGACAGGCTTGATATTGTATCCGACTTTGAGGTTTCAAACAATAAACTACCATTGATCATACATATGTTGGAAGGTGGAAGCACTTGGAGTCCGTTTCGTCCAAGTATGGGACTTCAAAACAGTGCTCATCCACAATTTCAATGAATAGAGTGGGGATGCGCAACATCATGAACTGATCGAGATTAAAAATGTTAACCATTTGACACCAACTCACTGTTTTAAATGTTGACCGCGAATTCTGAACGTCATGTGTTTAATTCCTGGTAAATTTATGCGTGCGAACTTCTTTCGAGATTCGTAGCAGATCCAAACATTTGTTCACTTCCCAATTTTCAGTGGTTACCTTACAAAGATCAATCCTTTACGTAAACTATAACATTCAAACTGTTGTTCACTGTCTTCATTTTTATATACATATTATAGGGAGAAATCAATTGCCGACAAATATTAAACAGCAACCAGTCGACATACCATTATGTCCAAAAGGTTGGATATCATTTAGAGAGAATTGTTACTGGTTACCGTCGATACACAAAAGAATGAGTTGGCCAAACGCAGAACGTGTCTGTCAAGAAAAGGCCAGTTACTTTGTAAACCACCGATCATTAAACAATGGTCATCTGGCTTCTGTCCATTCTGCAGAAGAATTACAATTTCTAATTAACCTATCATTATCATCATCATTCTGGATTGGTTTGAAAGCCTTTTGTGAGCATATTTTTCTCTTTCAAAATTTATGTTTGTAATCACAAATCTAACCTTATCTTAAATACTTGGGATGTTTGTGTGTGTATAAATACGGATAAGAACAATCATCAGTTTCTCATGATTATCTGGCTGGCAAGTATCTGGTTCATTTCATCTCTTTTAAATACAAAGGCATCCTACTGCAGTTGATATTTTTTTAAAAAAAAACTAGTCTATTTCTACTATATACTAGTATGTATATTGATGACAAGAGCGTAAAATGTCTAGACTAGAATATTATCAAAGAGTAACACTTCGTCGATCCCCTTATAAGTGACCCTAACACTAATAGTTTGGAGGGAACGTGAAGGTTGTTGAAAAACTGTTTCAAGAAAAAATGACATCTTAGTGGTATATATACAAAACAAAGCAGCTCATTCTGAATCTAGAGGGAAGTTTATTGTTGATTATAAAAAATTTATAAACAGTTCCAGTCTAAACCTATCTTTTACATCTAACTATATTTTCATCTTCATAGTTAGAGTATAACTGATTTCTATTTCATAGTATGTATCACGGACCACTGTTAGTTAGACAATCACTGAAGATCAGTAATACTGGTAACCTCTCTCATCCCAGCATGAGACTCCTAAGCAGTGTGCATCCGTGACCCTGCTAGGGACTGACCCTAGGATCTTCAAGTGCGGAGACGAGTGCTTCTAGTCCACTGAGTCGGCATACACTAATTTACATCCCAAAGTTCAATCATTGTTTTCGGTTGTTTACTGATTCACAATCGGCATTTCTTTTTCAATTTTTTTTTTGTATGTTAATGATTTACGACTCAATCAGTGCAACAATATTTAATTGTTTTAACTGAGATGGACAAAATTTGTGGTTTTGGTGGAGTTACGTTCTGTATATATATATATATATATATATATATATATATTCAGCAAACAATAACACGACCAACGTCGACATAAACCAACCAATCAGAATCCAGGTTGAAAGAATAAACTGTTAAAGTTTGGTTGTTTAACTTTATCTTTTGGTTACATTTTTTATTATGGATTAGTTAGCCAGAGAATAACACATAGTGTTGGTGTAAGTGTTTATTTTTCCTAACTTCAATACTTTAACTATACCGGATGAACTAAAAAATGTTAGATATTGGACATATATTGAGCACTAAGTTGCAGATATGCCGCTAATCCACGTAAAAATAGCCTATTCCATTCCTCTTAAACAGTAAAATGTATATGTGTGTATGCGATGCTGTACTGCAGTAAATCACAGATAAAGACAAACATTTTGTCTTCCTGTTTATTTTGGGCTTAATTTGTATTGATGGAACTGGTAAAAGTATTTTTATTTATAATCGTAGAAAGCTGAGACAAGTTGAATATTGTTATACATACTACAATCCAATTTGAACATCCTGTGGCTATTTTTTTCAATTAATTTGTAATTGAACGGAAACAAACTTAAAGCTGAGTAGTGTATACACATTACTATAGAGTTTACCTGTACTGTGTAAGTTTTTAGTGATTTTATCATCTAGAATTCTTGTACGGTAATCACTTTCTGTGTTACGTATTTCTACACTTGTCCAGTGTACAATAATATCCTTGACAGAATGTTAATTGGATAAACTTAGTTGTCATCTATATTGGTGTATTGTCTTTTTCCTGTCTCTTTATATTCATCCCCGCATACCTCTCTGTCTTCTTAAACCCTATCAACAGATTCCGGTATTAAACCTACATCTTCGTTGAATTTAGTATGGAGTGATGGTTCAGTTATGGACTTCTCTGTATTTCCTTCAACCGATACTTCTACCACATTGAATGAACTAGAGAATCCTGAAAATTGTATCTCAGTCACTGATAGACATCACCGTTATTCATGGGATATTAATGATTGTATGGAGGAAAAAAGTTTTATTTGCCAGTTGTCTAAACTGGATCTGTTACTACAACAACAGCAACGGCAAACTACTGTTATGGATGATAGACGAGGTAAACGTGTATGTTTGTATGTACTTGTGCTTATACATCTACGTTGATCGTGACTGACTGACCTATGGATTTCAGATAAGCCTTGTCACAAAACACTTACAGACATATAACACTAATCCTTGTCATTGTATAGGCGTAATATTTTGTTTTCACTTGTAAAAAAGTCGAGATATTTACTCATGTAAGTTTGCACTTACGAAGCTGAAAATCAGTGCCCATTATCTTATAAACTTAAATCATGCATCAAAAAGTAGTTAAACTATAAACTCATTATGATGATCATCACCGATGTGTGTACATGTAGACTCATTTTATTTTATGTAAGGTAGTTAACTCAAAATAGTCATTTTTCATACTCGGTATGAAGATGACATTTTATAAATGCCAGTATTATTTATTATACTCAGTTGTCCTATTCAAAATTAGGACTCAATAACACAAAATGGCAATCGCGTTCATCTCTATCCTCATCGAATCTCTAACCTCATTCTTCTAACATAAACTAGCTTAGATCGACTCGTGACTTCAACTGTGAAATACTAAGAAAGTTTATTACTGCTTCGACTAATAATATACACGGGTATTTTTAAGAAAATCTTCAGGTATCTTTGAAAACTAATAACTAAATATATGAGTCCTAAGGCATTAGATCCAAACTTTCATATGCAACTTGTTATAAAAATGTCGATTTTAGTCTTGACGTTGAAGACTGGTTCGGGCTTCATTTTTCTTAGGAATTGTATTCCAGTCAGCCGAACACAACATAGAACCTGGAACATATGGCCTTCCATTCAAGTTGCTACTCCACCTCATCGCAGCGAGATACCCGAGTTTGCCGTATATAGTGACAGTATTAGTGATAATGAAGCAGACTAAGCATAGAAGAACATATTCGAAAAGAAACCGTACATGTTATGCATTTCTTAATGAACAAGTTTATTTATGATTAACAATGTATGTATAAAGGTACTTTTTTTACTCTTAAATTTAACACAGAAATCAAATCGCCGCTGACTACTACTACTATTATTACTACAACTTGTACCGAAAAATCATTCCCAATACGTAGTAAAGTTGGTCCATATTGTTATAGTGGATTGTTGAATGATGCAATAGATTGGAGCAATGCTGAATCAATTTGTCGTAATATGCACGCTAATGCACATCTTGTCTCAATTCATTCACATGCTGAATTAAATGAAATTGTAAGTATCATTGTTTAGTAATTATACGTTAATTACTGTTACGTATATCAGTGTGGATTTGAAGAAAAAACACTTGGGCAACCTGTTGACATGTTTACTGATTTCGAGGGTGTATCTTTGATGAAAGTTAGGGGCAGGTAAACCAAAACAATATCAGTTCATGAAATTATTAATTACAGGTCTAAACCACTATACAGGTAGATTCAAACTGCCTGGTTGGGATGCGCGCGACTGTCATTAGTAATAGTTGAAGATACTGACTGATATGGCTCAGATTTCTTCACTCTTCGTCCTAAAATACTTTGCTATTTATTTTGAGAATTAGTTCTTTCTCAAATTATATTGTTTATGCTTGTTTTTTTCTCACACCACTGCTACTATTATTACTTTTACTATTCCGGGATTCATCTGAATGGTTTCATCTCTTTCTGTTGATATATATGTGACAACTGGAATCGAGGCAGCTATATATTAATAGTTTCTACATTACTAATGATTGGTTAGATTGACCAAGTGAACTAAATACATAATTCCAATAGTTCCAAGTTCGGAAAATACTATTGATTTTTACCCTCATCGATTTGTAATCTGGTTATTTTACCAATCATAATTGGTATATGTCAATAGATTCCGGTTGATCAGTTACAAAATTTTAGTTATTAAACATTAAGAAACAATATTTTGCTAGATTAATTTGAAGGTTGTAGTCTTTGAATGTTCTTTGTTGATATTTATTTGTCAGAAAACACCCGACTAATACGAGTGCATTTGAAGTGGCTCGTTTGATCTGACTCCATTTAGTGTACGAATGATTGTATGAATGTTTGCTATCGCTGATTCTCGTATATCATCGTCGACTTAAATCGCGTTATCCAATAGCGGAATTAAATAAGTCGAATAACGAGAACTGACTTGAGAATACATATATTTCGTACATGAAGCGAATGAAGCATAGGAAAGCAAAAATGGCAAATATGGAAGATGGCTGGGAAGCCAACTCCATTTTAATTAAGCGTTACTTAATATTTATAGTCAGACAAAAATAAAGCTACAGACATGTGATTAATGGAATAAGAAGGGCACACACATATACACTCATATAAAAACAGTCTAGATTGATAAGCGAATAAATAACAAGGTCAATGTATGGCTCAAGTAAAATGAATAGAATGGGATGTCCGAAAGCTCGAATAAGGTATATGGGCTTGGCATAATAACTGACACTACACATTCATAATTCACATATTTTGATCAATAGTCAACAAATGGTTCTATTTTTAACATCATCCTACAGGTAATCTGTTATAACTTGTTTCCTGTGTGACCTGTTAATGTATAACGTAATGATATCACCAATTAAAGAACAGGAAATTATTGACCGGACCAATGATGCATAAAACCCGTACGAGTAGTCTAGAGTCCTTATCGGTCCTACTTTCCGCCTAACCCAGCCAGTTAAGTCCAGAACACGAATTTCAGCCTTTGCAATATGAATAATTTATTTCAAACATACGGGGTTTATATACTAACCAGACAGACCACATCGTACAAATAAAATAGGAAACAACATTTGTACAAGACTGAGTCAAATGTGGCTGTGAATGTGGGAGGTAGTAATCGATAGACAGGGCATAACTCAAGAATGGTAGATCGTATAATAATAGTTCATAGTCCAAAATAAAGCTTATGATAAGAGGAACACGAATATGAATAGTTAAGTTATTTATCAATCCTACGATAAAAATATACACATAGTATTGGTCCATAAATGGATCCCAAAAGTTACCATTCATTATTCACATCGCGATATAACATAATCCATTTGGACAATCGAGATTACAACCAGCCCTTCATTTTTAACATTTCTGATACTAACCTATTAATCGACAGTCTTATCTACGTCCTCATGTAATTTCCATATGGTTTCGGTTTTAATCCTGTTTTTAAGTAACCTGATATATCCTGACCCATTCGTTTAAATCCCTCATCAAACAGCGGATTACACGATCTCTAGTCTTAAAGATGAACCGAAGTGCCGTTCTTTATACATACATTTTACCGTTGTTCCTGAAAGCAAACAAGTTTTTCAACGTAAGACAAATGTATCTTTACAGTTAATCATGCTACTTGTACGTAGTCTTTGCTTTTTATTACAATTGTTCATACTGACACGAAAATATATCCCCTGTTTAGACTGAAATTATCCATCTAGATTCACAATCAATGCGCACTACCTGGATTGGATTGTATGAATCAAACTTTGCTTACAAATGGTCTGATCAAACTGATATTAATTATATACCAGTTTCAGCTGACATCAGTAAAGAGTCGAGACATTACATGCAAGATTGTTTTGTGCTGGATTCAGGTTTGTTTTATTTATTGCGATAAAAAAAATCAAAGTAAATATGTATGGGGGCTTTCAAATATTATTGAACTTGATAGTTTATTTTAAAGACTGACGTTGACTGGACAGTTATTGGAAAACTAACAGATACCGGGTAACTACGAAGTCCTAGCATAGAACTACTTATAAAAACCTTACCTGGGATCGAACCCAGGAACCTCAGCCCACTCAGTAAGCGCTTAATGTTTGAGCCATTGAATTGAAACAGCGGTTTACATTTCTAATTTCTATTAATTCGTGGTATTATCCATTCATCTTCTCCAATGAGGTCGGAGATATGCTTTGCTGAGTAGCCTTATACTATGGGGAAATATCTGCTCAGCCCTTCTTGGTTTCCAACAGTTGTCAGTTCATAATGTGAACTATGGAACTGAAGTTATGTTTAAATCAGTACTAATATTTTCATTTATTGGTGGCGTGATTTCTATCCATTTATTTTAAGTAACGAAATTAACGTAAGAAGTTCAGTAAACTTTAATAAATCGCAAAGTTAATTTTTTCTATAGCGCACTGCTGTCAATTGTGTGTACAATAACAACTAGGGATTATTGTTGTTCATTCATATTGATAAAATTGGAAGGTATGTGGTCCTATGATTATTAATGATTGTTATACTATCACACCGATTGTTTAAAGCTGCATATGTGCTCTAGTAAACCGCAAAATCTTAATTATCTAAGTAGTGCACTTACCACAGTACTTAGTAGTTCTTTTGTTCTATTTTCTATGAAGCGATATGATCACACAGCTCATGAGTTGTATCAAATTACGAAGAAATCGATAATGACATTTAATGTTTTATGTAGGTTCCTTAACTCAGACGATGTTATCTCAACTTGTCCTCGATTTTGATTGGTTATTGTTGACCTATAAGCTGTCACTATCTCCCTGTTTATTTTCATTGTATCTCCCTCTGATCTGATTCTTGGTCCTATATCTGTTCATGACTTTTATGACTGGCTAATAAATTGGATCGATTGATTGCTAATTGATCTGATAGTTTAAAGGTCAGCAATAACCAATCAGGATCGAGATTGTCATGACAAGTTGAGAGTCGTATATGTAGAAATGTGAATTTTCTCATCGACTTGAAGTTTTTGATGATGATGTTGTTTAGAAAAACAATTAAAGATCCACAGTGAAAAATATTCAGCTCAGAGAACGAAATTTTACTAAAAATAATGAGAATATTCTCAGTTCGAGATCAGTCTCCATCTGTTCAAACAATTACAGTTACCTAAGATGGATTAAAAGTGAAACGATCTAGCATCCCTAACGAAACACTACTTGGCTTAGTTTTTTCATAACAACTTGCTATAAGCCTTAGATCTGAATGTTAATATTTTTATGAAAAAAAGTTCATTTAGTTGGTGGATTTTTCCATCAAACTTCTAAATAACATGAACAAGGTTGTAAATAGACACTGTTACACGTATATCTGTTTCACGTTAACTAAAGAACGTTTTCTCTTCCTATTATTCTAATAGTTAATTCATCAATAAACTGGAAAGCTATGCCATGTAAGAAACCGTCTTTGAGTTTTATATGTAGATTGAATTTGAATCCATCTACAACGATATTACATCCAACTACATTTGATTCATTAATATACCCAACATGTCCTCCTGGTTTCCGATTCCATGGGGACCGTTGCTTCCAAGTAAATTATTATTATGTTATATTTATCTTTTATCTACACATAAAGTAATCCTGTTTATAGTGTGCACCAACTAGTCATTGATTACTAAACAACATTATACTCAATATTGATTGAATTTTAGTTATGAAGTTTAAATGTGATCGATAGTTGACATGTCTGAACATTGTTTGCACTACATTCTCACTGGCTGGTAGTGACTGACAGTAAGCCCTATGGCTTACTGTTAGTGCTCATCCATTAAGCCTACTTTGATTGTTTAGCGAAATAATGCTCCGTGTGTTCTGAACACTTTGTTATTTTGTATTCCAACAAGAGACGTAACCACTAACTGATTGGGGCCGCAAATTGAACGAAAGTGATCGATCCTATCTAAGATTCCAGATATATGCTGCTAGGGTGAGGCGATTAGCACGAAATCCAGTCGCAGAGTTACTTGTAGACTGCCCCCAGAACCTTCAATATCTAAAGCTTAATTGGGTAATATCTCGAGTGAGCGTTTTTTCCGCAATGCTCCTCTAACGTTACAGTCATACCCATAATCTTCGATTCTTGTACAGTGAATGACCATTTCTCCAACTGGGAAAAATTCCGCCTTGTTGCATGCAATGGAATTTTAGGAAGTAGCAGACGAATATAATGGTAGGTCACCCAGCATGTATGTACATCGTCGGTTACACACATAAGTGAAACCATGCATATACACACATATACAAATTAGACACTTCAATGTTGTTTGTACAGGTAGATTGGTATATCCGAAATCCCAGAGTATTATTATAAATAGTCATAATTATTTAATCATATCACTGTCATCACTGTGTTATGTTTTGTTGTAAACAATGTTCTATTTTTCTGTTCTGCTTACTGGAAATGAAATGTGGGAAGTTTTTGAGTTTGTTTGATTCTTTTTTACTAGATATAAACATTAGAATTAAAACATTTCATGCAATGAATGTATTGATCAACAATTTGTCTGGTTAGGGTTATGATAACGTTAATAATGTTATTTTAGTGTTATGTAAATGATCGTGATCCCGTATTCATTCAGTTGTGGGGCTGGTACTCTTACTTATCGGATATTGCTACGTGTTTATTTATGTTGTACTATGCTGTTCTACACTACATAGTATTATGATATACGGTTCAGCAATCATTACAACACAAATGAGCATATATGTGAGTTAAAACATGTTGTTTAGGTGAAAAACACAATCGCGTATTTTATAAGCATTATTCCATTAAATCAAGAATACGGCTTCATTGAAAACACAACCACGTATCGATGATATCAGTCAATATTCATGCAGATAACCAACATAATACTTCAAGGATATTTAAAACACAAATAGTATGGTTTCAACGTAATTGCATTCCTATTTGTAGGCTAAAATATCGATTGTTTCATCCGATGGCTTTATTTTCTGATTACCAGTCACGTGAATGATCATGCTGTTACAGTTTATTTGATGTTAGGTTAGTGAACCCATTCACTGACTAGTTTGCATATACATCTGCATTATACAGAATGGTTGTCCAAGGCCTCAAAATCACTGAAGCAAATATCTACAACCGTAATACTTGACGATAAATGTTTTAAATCTGTAAAACAGATATTATTGCTCAGTTCTTGATAATGCAACTCGAACTTAGCTATCAGACACAAAAATGATGGCCTTCATGTTCATACAGTGTACATGCTTCACTTCGTTCTATAATATTTGGACATGGCGGGGTTGTAGAAGGTTACATTTTAGTTATCCATTCGATGCTTGAAAGAGGAAGTAATTAGAAAATCCTCATTTACCTTACATTTTCTTCAAATTGACACTTGCCAGCAAGGTTTACTTTCAGTCTTGTGGCAACTGACACTCCCTGTGTGATTCACATTCACTTCACTAAGTGTGAGATGTGACTTGTAAGTTATTTTGACCTCTACTGTAGTTAGTAACTTTGAATGATGTGGTTCAAAATCGTTTGCGATGGTGCAGTTGCATTCATTCTTTGTCTTCACCGAGATTCCAAGCTTGTGAATTCCTCATGACTTTTTCCTTCTTTATTTTACTAATTTATCTTTTCCTGAACCGTATCTTTGATGTCTAATCCTTTTTATTGCTATTGATACTGTTACTAACTCCACTATTTAAGATTTAACTTGATAATTTCATGTTTCTCTGCTAATGAAGTATGGCAACCTATGTACATATGTAATAGGCTCTATGTCGCGATTGACTGACTGACCGCTACTGATCTCTTGTAGAGGTGTAATGTATTTGCAGTCGAGTGGTGACTTTGCAGTAACCGCTGTCATATTTGTCTAACCCTTAGTATATATATATATATATATAATCACAATTTTTTCAAACTTCTCTGTACATAGTTGATAACAGACAAATTTACGTGGAGTGAAGCCAATGACAATTGTCATCATATTGTAAAGCCATATGCAAATTACAATGGATCCTTAGCCCGTATCGACAATGAACTTGATCAGCGTAAGAAAAAAAATGTATTTTTTTACGTACCAATTATTATTTTTACTATTATGGATATTTTGTTTCATAGGTGGAATGGTGTACTGGTGTGATGGTAATGTTGGTATGGTGACTTGAAACTCATTACTTCCAGTCACGGGCTTCCGGGATGGAAGTCGGCTTTGTTCTTGCATATATAGGCTTCCTGCCGGTCCCAAGCCCGGATAGAGAAGGAGGTTTAGGCATGTGGTCAGCAGCCCATATGCCATAAAAATTAACTTTGCTAAAGTAATCGCCGACTAGAAAAAGTCATTTACAGCATTAAACTATACGTTGGGAGTTGATTTATCTTCATTTTGGAAGAATTATGACGCCTCACGGTGAAAGTTGAGATTCTTCGAAACCCTCAAATGCGGTTTACATTCTAACAACCAGAACAACGATTAATGTAGGTACATAAAATGTCCAGACAATCTCGAAGACCAGGAGGACCATTCAAATAGCTTCGGAAAGGAGAAGCTGCAAGTTACAGGTTCTCGGAATAAGTGAAACCCTTTGAACCCAAGCTAGGAAGAAAAGGATAGATTTGGGAGAGATGCTGCTGTACTCTGTTTACGAGAAAGAAAGTGCTCCGCATACAAACGTAGTTGCAAGGAAACACGTAAAGCAGTTATAGGATGGGAATCTCATGAATGCGGAATCATCAAAGCATCCTTCAAAAAAAAAGAAGAAAGGGATCAGAATAAACTTTACCCAGTGCGATGCACACACCAGTGATAGCAATGAAGACAAGACCATATTCATAATACACTATTGTCGGTCGTAGAGACATACCCAGGAAAGGACCTGACTATCCTGATGAGAGACCTATACGTCAAAGTCGGAATAGACATTTGGTATGAAGATATCATGGGACGACATGGACTGACTGGGAGAAAGGGATGGGAATGTTGAGAGATTTGTAAATTTATTTGCCCTTAACAGAATGGTTTTCTATCACACTTTATTCCCCCATAAACGCATACACAAATCTACACAGGTCTCACAGAATCACACCACAGGAAACCAGACCGATCATATATGTATCACTAAAAAATCAATGTAAGACGAGAATTAAGTGAGGGGCTGGAATAGCTTCAGATTACCACCTGGTTATGTCCAAGATAAAAATGAATCTAAAGAAGCACTGAGCAACTTGAGAAAAATCATTGAAGAAGTTTAGTACAGCCTTTATTCGAGATACTGACAAACTCGATGAATTCAAGATAATTCCCAACTATAGGTTCCAAGCCTTACAAGATCTACTGGAAGAAGAAGACACTACTATGGAGGACAAATGGAAAGGGATCAAAGAAGTACCAATTTCAACGTGTTATGTGCTGAGTCGCAAGAAACATCGTCATAAGGAATGTATATTTATCAAAACCCTGGACCATGATTCAAGAAAGGAAGAATAAGAAAGCAATTAACAACAGTCGAACAATATAGGACTCACGTTTTATCCTCTTTGGGACTTGCCTGCTGGATATATCGGGATTCGAATGTTGATATTTACTTTGGGACCCAAAAAAAATTCTTATCAATTTAAACACTAACGTGTTTTTCATTGAGCTATTTAGTTCTCGAGAGAGTTACCTAATTGTACATTTCTTACTTTAAATGAAAAAGTCATCGATTAAAGGTATATCTCAAGCACATGTTTTGTTTAATGGATACCGTAATATTCATTAACGAACGTACATTAAACGACTTCCCTAAACACCAGCTCAATGTTCCGAATAATTTGCTTAATTTAAAGTGTTATTAAATTTGAAAGAGTTTTTAACTGTGCTTCTTGTCTTAATATGTATATTGATATTTATTTTGTTGTGTATTGTTTTGACCGTCGGCCGAGTTGATCAATAACCGAGTGAAATCGATTATTGAAAAAAATTAGAATATGACATAGGTAAAAAGTAAACACATTTAGAAATTAATAAAGCAACAATTCCAGAATATTATGGATTTTGTAACATACGAGGTCAATGTACGCCTTAAAAAATTGTTTTGTCTTATCTCTTACGGTATCAATACATTGTTCGCCTACTTGAGCACTCTGAAATTCTATACTATAAAATAATAATGTGCTTATTAGTGACTAACTTTGGTAATTCCTGAAATACAAATGAGAAACCATGACCATTGAAGTTCTGTCATGTCGAGTATGACATAAATATCAGAAACATCAATCGACAACTGTCGCGTAATATCATGAATTGACGAAAGTTGAGAATTTAAACCTTTGATTATCGATTAATTGTTATGAAGTTTGATCATTTGTGACAAGATCTTAGGTTCGTGTATTCGATCCCCAGTAGAGTCGTGGATAGGCCATTTTAGTATGAAATAGTTGTCTACTGCTTTCTAGTTTTTATTATTTGTTTGTGATATTTAACTACGAAATTTTACAACTTCTACACCTCCCTGTAAATGATTACCTATTAATTTAATAGGGCTTTAAAGCACATTTCATCTTATCTCTAATAAGACATTTATTTATTGATTATCAAATAAATTATGTCATTGCACAGTGTACAATAAACTCCTGTTAAATGTCCGATCATGAACGTTAATATTTATATTGCTGTATACTAAATGTCCTCCCATCTAATAGAATCTACGGTAACTTCCATGTGATACATTTGTATTTCACGTTAACTAATATTTGGTAAAACTATCAGTACATCATTTAACACTGAAACGAATTTTACTTAATCTCTTGTCTAAACTATGATTAACTATTTCGTAGCCTGAATTTCGTATCGCTTTTAATCATTGAGCTATCGGATGAATAGTATGGGGTGTTCCACAATTGTACAGCCAATTATATATATATATATATATATATATATATATATATATATATATATATATATATATATATATATATAGAGAGAGAGAGAGAGAGAGAGAGAGAGAGACTTGAAGTGAACCAACCCTGCTTTATTGATTTGGTCATTATACAGAGTTTAATCTGAATTCCAACTCACTAAAAGAAATTTAATATTCTTTTGAATAGCTATCAGTCATTCACTAGTTGAAGTACAAATTTATTCCATGATGAAACATTCTAAAAATGTAGCAAAGGGAAAAATAGGCGTTTTGATTTTCACTTGATAGGTGTATATGATAAAAGTTTGATGGTTATTTTTAATGAACCAGTTTAAAGTGTTTCTTATGAATAATTTTTTTCTGGGATGGGTCTATTGCAATGAGTATCTTATACTGCGACTGTGAATAATAGTTTCGATAGTTTACAAGTTTTGCTTCGAACATCACAACATTCATTATTCACTAGACGACTTAGCCCTCATAACCACTTTCTGTCTGATAGCTATTATATATGAGTTTAATGATTCGTTAATAATATCCATGGTCGAATTAATAAACGTTATATTTCTTGATCGTCTAATCCACTTGCAGATAAACACACTTCTTGCATGCTTGCTCAACCTACTTTGAAAGTAAGTAGACTGCGAAATGATCATGTTACTGTAATTAGCGAGCCAAGTACAATGAATGCATAACACATGTGTATATACATCTATCTTTCTGATCTAGACGTTGGCAGATATAGATGAAGACCTTAACTAGGTCTATAATTGGCTTTATCTAGTTGCGTGCCTTCCTGTGATCTCGGGCCTGCTGTTTGCCCCTTAAATAATGTGTGAACACAGACATTTGCTTATGTCTGGATCCACCCAATTTATCAATAAGTTCCTGTCTTATGGTTGACCTCCACTGGTAGATGTTGATTATTTTTTGTTTCATAGTTAACAGTGGTAGGATTCAAGACTCCAGTTTCATTCTCCGTATATGCTTATCTTAGTGCAATAGAGGAGACGCGTATATGTTTTATTTATTTTGTTCATCTTTCTTGTATTTTTTATTTCAGAGTTTCTAGCTAGTCTTCTAGATAATCTTGAACCTGAAAAATCGTCTGCAGTATGGATTGGTTTGTACCGTAATTTATCACATGGTTCTCACAGTTACGATTGGTCAGATGGTAAAAAGCCTCAATTCATCAAGCCAATTATAAGAGATCATCAACTTTCTGTGTATGGTCATACTTTTGTTTCACGACCAACTATTTCAATCAAGTCGAAATCAATGAGTGTATGTCATTTCCTTGGTTCTTTATTCCAATTAATTTATCACTTGTTATTAACCAAATGATAATACGCAACATTCGTTTTTTCCAGTTTTACGTCTCTAGAAAATCTATTCAAATCTAAAACTCACTAATCAAATCGTTGCTTGTACTCCTGGTCTCAAACAAAATATAAAGGGTAATAATATATCACTTGATTGCCCAAACTGATATTAGTTGAGTTGGAGTTTTTTTCTAACTACGTAATTGTTCCCACTGACCGAAGTGGATATTTATGGGGAGTGCTATAAAGGTCAAGGCTCCCAACTTTCATTCACCAGTTCTCAGGTTCGGGCCTCATTCCGTTTAATGTGGTTTTAATATCCGGGTGGTATAACTAACTCTTTACACATTATATATAGCTCCACAGCTAAATGCAGAAATGTGCTCTTGACAATTAAGTTACAAAAATATTATATAGGAATACCTGTAATCTCACATGAGATTTAAATTTAAAGTCTTATAGCTGCCTAAAGTGTCCTGAAACAACTTAGTTTTCGAGATTATATGTCTATTAGCTTTGAATAAAAAAATGTGCTGTTGACCGAACTATGTAGTAACGATTGCAAATCCTAAACGAGTTTGTGCCATTGACACACTTACTGAAAACTGCGAAACCTCAGTCAACTTCTCTTGTTCAAGCTGAAAATATTTAACGAAGTGTTCAGTACTTAAAAACTCAGGTTTTTTTGTTTATCAGGATGTCTATTTTTCGTATACATCAACTTATTTCACTGTTAAGCATATCAGTAAGTTGAAGAAAGATTACGAAATTATCAACTATTGAATTGTTTCATGAAAGCGTAGATTTCTTGATTCAGATTCGTGGAATGATGATGTTTAGTTGACTGAAGACACGGTTCCAAATCCAGATCAATGAAATACCTGTTTCCGTTCTTTCTTTTCTTCAATGTTATGGGTTTTTTTAAAAATAATTCATCCATTCATTTTGGATAGATGTTTCTGTTTAAAATTCCCACCCTCCTTCTATCGATATTATTTAATTTCATTTTGATTCAAAAAGATTTACTAGACCGAATTTTTTTATTGAGTTTATGTATCACAAGTTGTTTGTTGAAATTTTCCAAGCATAGACAAATTGTTTTTATTCTTTAAAGTTTTATACTCAACACTTGGTATTGTTAACAGCATACTAGCTGACTGATATTAGTGATCATAAGTTTGATCTATTACTCAGTGCAAGAATACTTCAATTTGTACACAAAATAATTAGATATTTTTGGTCATTATGACATATCATTAAGTTGAATATATATATATATATATATACTGAGTTATATTCAAAATTCTTATCAAATATATATTACTCGAGTTTTCTGAATGTATCATGTACTTGCACCAGTTCTTATCTGCATTTATATTATTTATTTATTTATATACATATATACACTTTTTCTTTATGCCAACTAGCTATGCACGTCAATGTTTCGTGCAACGGATCCAAGATTGAATGGAATTTGGCTTCAATGGTCGTGTGATGAACCAATTTATTTAAGTAGTTTATGTCAAGCTTCACCAATTTATCAAAATAGACATGTAAATCAAATGTTGCTCTCTCCGTATCGAACAGAGACATTTTATTGTCCATCTGGTTTCCAGTTGGGCACAACTGGTCTGTTAAAAGTTAAAGGTCAATCAATGGCAAAACTTTCTCAACCTATGTGTTATCGCGTTTTCAATCATGTCGCTAAAATGAACTGGGCTGTAAGTCTTATGTCTGTTTTTTTACAATCTAAGCGTCGTGAATTAACCAACCCATACATTCAAACGATTGAATATCAACTCAGTGATCTAAAATCTAATCGCTTTACTCAAGATTTGACATTCCTAGTTTCGATCTCTTAGAAGGGTCATGCACGCGTTTTGTTGAGGAGTTCCACAATCCTACAAAATGAGCTATCCAGTTTTTCCCAGTTCTCAGTGGTTGTTCAACTAACATCAGTTCATGATGTAAGCTGCTAAATGTCATTTTGTATGAGAATAACAGTGTTTCGCACAAATTTACTGCTTTGTTCTGTGATGGAGATGATATTTGCTAAGTGCTAATGTTTTTACTGATTCCGAGTTCTTGGAATAACTAGATAATAAACTAACAATTATGTAGGAACCACTAAACGTTACTCAACGATGCACGAATAATATTGATATAGACTTACATCATGTTCGTAGCAGTTGTACTGTTTCGAGTAAAGAACAAAGTAATACACTGAATCTAATGTTTCATCACCATTTTATTCTAACCATCGAATTATGATTACGTCATGAAAGTATCAAGAAAAATGCTAATGTAGTAATAGATAAGACAAATCATAAACAGTATGATTCGAGAAAAGAGAATGAATTCACGTAACTGAATGTATAAAATAATTTTGAAACTCAGTATCTAAAGCGAAGACGAAGAGTGTATTAGTCCATCCCATTCAAACAGATTCTGAATCATGCTACTCAATGTCCTACAAATTCATGAAGCCACAACCAGGTTGTCTAAACCTACTAAGACAGCGCAATTCAATATTTAATGATATGTTGGACTAATGTAATGTTTATCTGCTCCCAGCCGTCTATTCGTTCTATGTACATCAGTAACAAAATGAGCTAGATTCTAGAATAATAAAGTACTAGCAGTATGTGGTGTAATGTGATATATATATCGAATAATTCTCCACATTGTGTAAACCGATGAACAGCATTCATTTGGTTATCCGATATATGTAATGATCTGCTAACATACTATTACGATATTTTGTCTCAGATTTTAATGGTAAGAAACTTAGCTTCAAAAATCCTTGCTAAGAAAAACAAATCAGTAACGATAGAAACAATTTTTTTGTTTTCAAATTAAATCTTGCTTTTCACTTTAGTCAGCAAATATGGCTTGCAAAAATTTAAGCACTCCAACATATAACGTCAGTTTGCTGACGATTGCATCAGTGTTTGAAGCTAGTTTTCTACGTGTATGGCTTAATCAACCACGTGATATCAGTGGTGGTGGACTGCCAATTAGTGAAGCAGTTTGGACAGCTTTAAAAGTACCAACTACTTGCCCTGGTTGCTATGCAGTAAGTTAGTTGTCTGATGATCATTTGCTTGATGCTCTTGTTACCTCCTTCCTCTCTCCCCTTTCATTTACTTTGTCTAACTTGCTTGTTTGGAAGCGTTTCGCAAAGATGATAACGTTGCCATTTTCAGAAATTTAGAGACAGTTAAAGGAAATTGGTTGACTTTGATTAATGTCATTTGCATACTGACTACACAAAGCAATCACTCAAGCATTCGTGCTTTTTACAGCTACGAAGTCACACGCTCGAACTCCGTTTCACCTAGTTTAATTCAGTCAACCGGGTGGTTTTGTGGTGTGTGCTACTTACATTCACATAATTAGTATATGATCTTAGTCGTGAACAGAAGCTCTGGCAGCAGAGAGACAAGAGGATCGAACAGCAAAGAATGGAAACAGGATGCAATTTATATGAAAACGCAAGAACAATGAAGTTTGAGTCATTTTGAGACAATCGATGAACATTTTGCAAATTAAGCAGTTATTTTATGATTGTTAGATTTTATTAACAAGTCCTGTAATTTTGTGTTAAATACATTCGATTGTCCCCACCCGTGTTCTGTTCACTACAGTTTCACAATATACTTCACGCTTAACGCTTATCTTCAAGTCAAAAACACAAGTCTGTACTTGGTGGATGAACTAAACTGTGTTAGCGGTTCGGAATGTTAATACTGCTTGTTTCAGTTCGAAATAAATAGGTGCGCAACTTAATGGTTGAACATCTGTCTGGTACTGATGAATAGATCAGATTCTCCATACGGTATTATACCTGAAACTACAATTGAGTAGATATTTGTTAGAGAAATTGTACTTATATTTATGTAAAAATCGAATTTATTTTCATGAATACGACTAACATCTTCTAAGCAATCATTTTATCAACAACAATGCTTGTCGAAAGAGGCTGATATGATCTAAATTATAGATTAGCTAATAAGATGCATTATAATGTATAAGTTTTGTTCACGAAGTGTTAATATGAATAATAATGATATTTTTGGATTGAATGTTCAACATGAGTTAATACCGGTTGCGAAACTCTGCGAAACATTGTTTTGATTTTTGAATTTAATATTAACTATACAATGATGATTTCTCCTTAGATCTATGTCTCTGAATCTTAATGTAATAAAGTTTTTATTTTCATTCACATCCAATCTGTAATATCTGATTTCACTGGTTGTAAAAATTGCTGCTATCCAATCGTTCCTTCTCTCTGTATAACTGATGTTTTTGAAGGTCCATAATCTATTTGAACTAATCGTCGGGTTGAAATATGACCAATTAGGGATAAGATACATGTTCAGGAATTTGTAACACTTCTGAATCTCAGAACCCAATATATCTTCATTATCTAGCATTTTGCCGTTCAGTCAATGCCAAGTTGGAATAAGCTACACTAGCGTTTTTACAGAAGACATGTAGATGACTTTAGACGATTAAAGCAAAGTCCTTACTAAAAAGTACACTCTTATATAAAGCACTGAAACTACGTTGACAAAAAAGTGCGCGAAAATAAAAAATATCTCACTGCTATTGAACATTGAAAAAATTATGATTGTCCTCAAACTTCAGTTGTTAACAGTAGTTATGTGAACTTTTTTAGTGTTCACTTAGCCATTCAGTTTAATTTTCATTGTTAATGTGCGTGTATGAACTCAGTCTTTGTAATGATTCATTGAATGATTTTTCGAATATTTTGCATTCACGGTTCCTTGTTCATCAACTCTTTTGTTAAAAAAATGAAAATTACCCACTTTTTTATTATAGAATTGGACATGGGAAACCCATGATAATGAACCGGTCAGATATACAGATTGGTATAAATCACCGGGTGAAAATCCCGGTGGTTGTTATCTGTTTCATCAAGCACCTTACACCACACTTGAAAATAACAGAATTGATTCAGGTATAGGCAGTATACAATTGGCAAGTTCATGTGAAACACATCAGTTTGTTGCTTGTCAGACATTAGCTTTAATAAATGATACATCATCAAAATTATTGTCTTATCATCGTATTACATCAAATGTTGATGTGCCTTCTACTCCACATCATCAACCAGTGAGACCGGATTGTTTTAAACCTAAAATAGCAATGAGTAAATTTGAGCATGATGTTATATATGAAACAAAAATTATGCAGTCTGTTACCGGGAGACAATGTCTTAGGTTAGTTGATTGGTTTCTTTTTTAAGTAGTATTAACATTGATATTGGTAGTTCTCAACCAAATTTTACAATTCAGTTCTCCTCTCTTTTAATATTAGTTAATCATCTTATTAGTTTTACATAGTTTGAGAGCAAAACTGCTCTCACCGACGCGTTGTAGTTCGGACCTTTTACAGCCAAACTGACATCACGCAGGCGCCAAAGATGGCGCAGATTAGCATAAGCAGCTCTGGCTTTCACTATACGTGCATTGATCTCATCACTCACGCCACCACCAGCACTTATGCAGCTACCCAGATACACGAACTTCTCGACTACTTCTATCTGCTCACCAGAATCCTGACAGTCTTGTAAAAGTACTTTGCACTTCGAAGGTGCAAAGCTGATACCATAACTACGGACACTAATTGCTAACTGATTAAGTGTGGATTGCATGGTTTGGGCATTATCACTCAGTAAGACAATATCATCCGCATACTCAAGGTCGAGAAGTCTTTCTCCAGGCAACAGATCCACACTGTCATTACTTACATCCATCAGGGCTGTTTCCAGAATGTCATCGATGGCAAAGTTGAAGAGGAATGGTGAGATTGGGCAACTCTGTCTAACCCCACTGCTCGAATGGAACAATGGAGAAAGGTGGTTGTATGCCCTCACTCTGCCTGAGGTGTTTGTATATAGGGCTTTTAGTATGTTAATAAACTTCTCAGGCACACCCTCCTTCAATAGACAATCACAAAGAACAGTCCTGTCCAACGAATCGAAGGCAGCCGTGATGTCAAGAAACACTACGATTGTTGGCCTGTGATAAGTATGACGGTGTTCTAACACTTGGCGGAGGGTGAAGATATGATCAATACATCCTCGACCAAAACGAAAACCAACCTGCTCCTCGCGAGTCAATCTTTCTCGGGTTTTGAACAACCTACGAAGTATGACGGAAGCCAATAGCTTGGACGCAATCGGAAGTAGACTTCTCCCCCGATAGTTGTTACAGGAACGACGTGAACCCTTTTTAAAGATAGGGACAACTATCGACTCATTCCATGACATTGGTACACTCTCTAGTTCCCAGACCTTTGGAAAAAATAACGCAGTCAGCTTCTTAATCAGAAGGTCGTCACCATCTTTATAAAGAGCCGGAGGTACGTCATCTGGGCCAGGTGATTTGTAGCGCTTCAAAAGTTGGAGTTCCCTGCGGACTTCCACCTCATTCGGTGGATCAGTCGTCACCGGCCATGGAGGGCAGGACAATCTGACCGATGTTGCCGGAGCAACAGGCCAGTTGAACTGCCCTTCGAAGAATTCTGCCCATCGTCCAAGACGTCGATGGATGTTGGTGATTGACATCCCGTCATCCTCACAGATTGTTTCGCTCACACTAAACTTCGTGTTGCCAGTGGCTTGGATGAGTTGGAAGAGTTTCCGGTAGTTACCAGATGCAACTGCTGTTTCCAGTTCATTAGCACGCTCCGACCACCAGGCTTCTCCGTCCTTGCGCAGGCTTTGCCTGATTTCGTTACGTAACATTCGTTGTTTGTGGTCAAACTCACGGTCACCCGGAGTAGACCGACGGGCTTCGATGAGTTGTACGGAGCCTGAAGAAACCCGGTACTTATAGGCGGGACGTTTCGGGAAGCCGCAAGCGGCTTTACTCGCCATTTTGATGGCGTCATGAAGTTGCGACCAATGCTCATCTATGCTTCTCAGTGGAGTGTTAGGTAGCCTTGAACCTAGCTCGGTTTGACATTTAGTTGCAACCAATTTACCGATAGCGGTCCGTAAAGTAAGATTAGCGTAAATACGAGGATTATCAGATTTCTGACAGGTAGTCCAAAAGGAGCAGCAGTCTTGTATTCAAGCACACCAGTGGTAGCTGATCGCGATGTGATCAATCTGAGTCCAGGCTTGAGATGCAGAGGGAGGACGCCAGGTGGCACATCGGCGATGACTGTGCCGGAAGTTAGTGCTAGCCAGAAACAGGTTGTGGTCTGCTCACAGTTGCAGTAGACGGTCCCTAATATCTGACCGGTGACCAACAAGTCCCCATCGGCCACCTAAACGATTCTCTTCTGTGCCTAGACGTCCGACCTGAGCATTTAAGTCTCCGGCTAGTACTACAATATCTGTCGAACGCACTCATGTAGAAGAACTGTTAACTAGTGGTTAAACTCATCCTTGATCGGGATGCAATCTGTCGAAGCATAGGTGAAGATGACGAAAAGACGTCGTTTCTTACGCCAATTTCTTCTTACTTTGATGGAACCTTTTAATCTAATATTGAATAAAGCCATTAATAATAATAATAATAATAATAATAATAATAATAATAATAATAATAATAATAATAAACTCTAATCTAATAGCACATAACTGACTGTTAATGAGGATTCAGTCGATTAGTGCTGCCTCAGCTCTAGCGCTTAGTGCGACACCAACGCCTGCAAGACCAGATGAAGAGGCCACAGGGTCCCCGGATAAACGCACGTAAAACAAGCTTTTCGAAGCGACAGATGTAGAGGGAATATTAGTACTTCACCAGAATCTTGAATATGGGTCTCGGGTAGATAACCAACGTCGATATTAAGACTTTCTGAAGACATAGCCAGCTCTATCTGTTGTCCAATCTGCATTAGTGTGCGAACGTTGAAGGCAGCCAGTTTGAATGGTACATGTGGTTTCCGAATAACTTTCGGTATCCGTATTCGGTGGTCGCATTCAGTTTTCGACCAGTCAGTGAGTCAAGATCGTTTAGATGGAACAAAGTTTCCACCATAGGCGAGCTGCGGTATAAGTTGGGAATAAAAGACGGTAGATAAGAGACATAATAGTATATAAAAAAATAAAAATAAATGTGAATTGTTTGACTTTTAATCGAGACGAGAGTAGTATTTTCAGTAATTATCGTCATTTCATTTTCACTTTATTTGTGTATGGGCTGTGATACTGCCTGGGTGTCCAGACTGAAGCAGGTGGTTTTCTCAGGAGGCCATATCCGGAGGCTTTGACCCAAAGGTCTAATCCACAAAGCAGTGGAGCAACGTAAGAAAATGCAGTCCCATGGTAGCCGATGACCAACAATTGGTTCATACGCCATTTGTCCCCTCAGGATCCTGGAACCCATGTGCACCATTGGTTTGGGATCAAGGTTTTCCACCCCCCTAGGAGGATCCTCCGTATCCACCGACCCGGTTAAAGTGCCGGACATTCGCTTTTCGTCCTCTCAATTTCGTAGACAACACCCCTGCCGCGAGAAGGCATTGGTTGTGTGCATGTGGCCATGTGAGAGCATTTAGAGCGAGAGAGACCGGACTCTCGCCACTATCGGCCGTACCAGGGCATTCGGGGACACTTCACATATCTCTTTTTTTTTACTAGCACTATGAATTAGGCAAGATAAAATTTAATAATTGATGAATTATGGCTAACAGTGAAATCCGGAACATGCGTTTCTTCTTATTCCCGTCTCAGTACTTAAACTTACCCGCATTCCACATTTGTTCATGTTAATATTCGAACTTTATAACTCCAGCTCGTTATCCAATAATTTATTGGGTCCATGTAGTTACTAATTTGTGCATTGGATATGATGTCTATATCATTATTAGTAAGCTTTCAAGTTATCGCGCTGTTGATAATCAGGACTTAATTTTTGATCGGTTCTTTTTGGTTTATGCGATAGGTTGCAAATGATTCTTGAAATTACAGAGCTCTGATTGCATAATTATAGTGTATTTTTCTCGTTTAAATATTCTTTGCTATTTTATTACAAGATAGTTTGTAACTGAAAGATGAATTTCAAACATTTTGTAGGCATTTTTTGAATGCACTAAAATTAAAAAAATAAGACATTCAAGTGTAATGCTTTAATTGTTTAGTCATTCCATCATATTTCAAGCAGGTAAATTGTATTATTAACTCTCTAAAGTGGACATTTGTATGGATGAACCTGCACTTTCACGACTGATTTACAGTAACATATTATTTTGTGCTATAGACGTTAAGTGTTGTTGTAGACAATAATAAAAATCCTTATTATTCCCATTTTGTCACTTATCATTTACAATCTAACGGTTTTTATATTACCAAAATTGTGTGTCTTGTTTTGTTTCTTTATATATTTATTGACAAGTTTTGTGTGAAATTAATGAATAAGGTTTGTTTGCACTTAAGAAATCATATAAACAACTACTTAGTATAGAAAACAACAATTGACTTAGTCGTTGTGGATAGATGTAAGCGGTTGAAGGTAGCTGGTTTTATGTCTTGATTATTGTCAGTCGGTTGATCAAGCTATGAATCTTCATCAATTTGTGTTGCACATGCATTCATGTCTTCATCAAAGAGGTAAGAGTAGTTTCGGAAATACTTAAGTAAGTCTACTGTTATGTTTTGCATTTATCTGATTTAAATACCCATACACACACTTTCGTACTTTTTTGCGAGTTGACAGACTAAGAAACGGTTGTTTTTGTTGTTGTACACAATTATATGTATCGAACCCTCTAATCTAACCAAGAACATATACCGTGACTAGGTGAATAGTCTGTTTTATTCATTAGCTTACTTTGTTTACAATCGCTCACCACACCGTTTGGCCTTGAGATAGTGTGTGAACATAAGCAATCGATATGTTTGGATTTACTCAGCCCATCAAATTGCTTCAAGAGCCACGTCAGTAAGTGCAGAATTCCTGACTGAAGATACTAAATAGAACATAGATCAAACTTACCAAATTATATGACTAATATAACATTCTCTACAAAATCAACAGAATAAGCAAATATTGACTGGATAAATTGATTTTAAATAATTGTAGTCATTATCTCGCGTCTCACATCACTTGGTATATCCATGTTGGTTCGTCTTTTAAGGAGTATGGTTCCTTAACAAACAGTAATTATTTCTATCTTTTTTATTCATTGGATGAAAAAGCCAACATATGTATCTCATTTTGATAAACAGGTTATGTATAAACTCTAGTTCCTTCTTTTTAGGGTCAGCTGATTGCAGTACCCTAAGGGTCATTGAGTCGCCATCCAACAATCTCTACACGGTCTAATGCTAGGTCAACTTGGAATCTAATATGATAGTTATCTAAACATTGATATTGATAATTATCACTAGTTTTGCTCATGGAACAATGATTGAACTCAACTAATGGCACGACTTCCCAATAAAACATTGAAAATCTATTTCTCATCTCGTCAATAGTGCATTCACAATTATTAGTTAGTAGTGGATAGTAGTCTCTGGAAATCGGCGCAGTTTTTGAAAAAAAGAGCCGAAGCCAACTGTTTAATGCTCAGTGATTTTCACTGATTCTCCAGCTAAAGTGATAGTCTCTGATGAAAACTGTAGATAGGGCTCGGCATAAATATGAGTTAGACCAAGTTGCCATATCACTTCATTATGGCTAGATGAAATTCTTCATAGTACTGTAAAAGCAATCGAAATAATATAATGGGACTAATTATAGCAGAAAAACATTAAGAATATAAGGTTTGTAAAGACGGAATAAAATATATGCTTGAAGCTAAAGAACTATCTTCAAATTCAACTGATCTTCACAAGATTATTGTATGATGAACACCAAAGATGACCTATTGCACCACCACTCTATAAGAGGATTGAATTTGTACAGAACTTCCGAAAGCCCAAGTTTTTTTTAATAATTCATTTTGACAGAAAAAGATAAATCGAACATCATAGCTTGGTTAGTCACAATGAATACATGAGCTTAAATTGATTACTATCAGTCCAAGGCACTATACAACAAAACATTAGTAGCAAGACAATTAGTAAATGGAGTCAAATATTGCTCATTGTAGTTTAGCTGTTCCGACTTTGAACGTTTGCTATCGCATTGTCAGTACTGTGGAGACATTCACCACGTAGAAGCAACAAGTATAACTTTCCTGGTAGAGACTTTCACTGCGAAGCAGTATGGAAGTAAAAAGCCAACAGCTTCTCACTCACCAGGATATATCTAATCTCATATCATTTTCGATTTGGAAGCAATATTTGTAGAAAGTTTTTCATCTAGTTTCCTTATTGTTGTCATCAATACTTTTTGGTTTGTTGTTAAAAAAATTTTCTAGATGGGATTTAATTGATCATAATTTCACTGATGTGTCATTAGATTTCAATTTTATACGAAATCATTTACTGTCTGCTGAAATGGTTCATGGTGGCAGTAATACTTATTCATATGCTGAAAATTATTGTTCACATATACACGATGGAAAAACACAATCTACCAAATTCGGATGTTATATCAGTATAAATCCACCGATGTTTGAGGTATCAACAATTCTCATGTATTATTTTCTTAATATTCTGTATTGATTATTTCTTTATTGGGTTATGTCTTGTGGCTAGTGGAACACCGAACTATTGACCCAATATTCTCTTTTATCCACGTACTTTGGTTTATTTGACCGCCAGTGGTATCATCAGCTCTGTCACACTTAGAAGTATGACTGAAACGTGATTACATTTACCTGTTTTTAACAATTGAGTTAACAATTAACAATCAAATCATGATTAATATGAACGCAGGATAATAATAAAAACTAAATTATATACAATGTGCTATAATTTTATTTGTTTATTTAATAAAAATCTATGTGAAGTAGGATTGTTAAATGGTTGTTGGTAGTCGACCAATAATCTTGCTTGACTTATTATTCGTATTACTTCTCACTCGTCACCGAGGCATCATCTGTAATCTCGAGGAGACGGATTACTTTCTATGAGATCGGAACCTTTGTATCACCCTATTTCACAGTGTGCGAGACGTTACTATTGAGATGTTCAGGCTGCGATTCAGCTCTTGTAAGAAAAATATTTACAACTGACTGATCATTGAATAATAGCCATTGCCATGTTTTTCCAGTCCTTCTAGTCCCGATTGAATTCTATCGATTAATCTGCAGTATAGTGTTACTAGTCTGAGTGACTCACATGGACTACGTTTTGGTGTTAGGTTGCACACTCTATTTCATGCCACTTAGACTGTTAGCTATATTACAACTGGATCGTTAGAATTGGCTCAGTCCTAAAAATCCAAAAGAAGCCTTTGACATAACTTTTATTTTTAAAAGTAAATATTCCTGATTGTTATAATTTTTAAAAAAAATTAAAATCAAAGTTATTTTTTACGACGGATCAGAATCAATTGGTATATTTTTTGAAGAAAACGCAAAGCATCGGATAACTATTTGCTTGTGGTTTTTAAAGTGCCCAATAATGCATGTTCAATAGTTCATATAGAACTTAAATTAACTAGATTTACCTTTAAGTTCATCGTATTTCATTGATGCATGTATCTTTATTATTACCAACCTATTTGATTCCTTGGATCACTCCAATTCATAAATGCCCTGGGTTGTATTATTAGAAGAATAGTTAGCCGATAAGAACGAACAAGTCACTTTAAAATGATGTATCCAACGGAATGTTGTCTGTCAAACCTAGGCGATCCGTTTTAGTAACGAAAACATCGTTAGATGCTTAAGGTTGGGTTTTAAATTGGTATTTAAGGTTAGAGCTAAGACTAGAATGAGTTTGGAGTTCAGACATAAGATTAGGGTTTACATGGACTAGTCGTAAAACCTTCTCCTAATCCTAATCTTCAGTCAACATCCTTAATTTTAAACTGTACATCGCAATCATAGATCGTTAACCCCTAACTCTAATCTTAAAATGTAAATCTTAGTCCTAACATTAGATATCGTTCATTTATACTTGCTGTCTACCGATTGTTTAAATGAGGTCAAGAATTCAACAAGGTCACTTAGGTAGCTGTTTAAGTCTTGTCCTTATAGCTCACATTTACTTTCAATTACTTGTAAAGAGTTGAAGATGTGAAATGGAATTCCTCAGTCTCAATACTTTGTCATTTTCGTCGGTTTCCCAAAAGACATTAGTCTATGATGAAAATCATATTAAATTAGAAATAATCAACATATACCATGGACATGAATGTATGATATATTGAAAATACATATCATTCAAAACAATACATGGATTTTATAAGTTGGTTATATATAATACGTGTTCAGACGAAATGATCTCAGTCTGAAAATATTACTCTTGAATGTAACTTCACCTTCTAATAAAATAAACAACTACACAATTCATTCAATTAGTTCCCTTTATGAATTTAAATAAAGCCGGAACAACTACACATTTTGTTACATGTTATTTTTTAAGCTCAATCATTAACAATTTACTGTATGAATGTGACAGTAATAATAGTAATCATTTATATTTATATGTTTTAACTGTGGTCTTAGTTTACCATTTAAACTTCAATGGAACAATTCATTTACAGGTAAGTAGTTAATTACAGTTTGATAATAAATACGTTAGTACTTCACTGGAACTAATTCATCATCGTGATGCTCATTTTTGTTCATGAGATGATAAACATCGGCATTGAATTGGTGACTGACTGATCGACTCAAAACTCTAGATGGGCGGGATATAAGCATTGGATCCTATAATTTTATTCATTTATAGCTTGTTATTTTGTTATGTCGTTGAAGGTGATAAAAACACATCAATAGATGTACTTGAGTTTTTATTAAAACCATGAATGGATCAATGCTAGACAACTATTAAAAACCTAGAAGCACTAGACGGCTGTCTGGTTCCAGTATGAAACGCCTCACAGTACACATGCACGATCACTCACACGGAACTTGAGCCTAGGACCTTCGGCTTCGAATTTCAAATTGGTCATATCATTGATTGGCATTATTACTTAATTAAACATCATTGCTATGTCTCAATAGGCATCATTTTCTGAACATTAGGTTATCCTGTTGATCATTTCGTTGATTTCTCACAAACTACTTTTCTTTGCTTACTTAATTAACTCATAAACTATAAAATTCAATAATCGTCATAAAAAAATTAAACTAATAATTATACTCTCACTAGTGAATAATTTCGAAAAGTAGTTTCTGGAGTTTTAATGTGTAACCGTGACCAGTGAAATCCAACCATATTGGGTGTGATGCCGTCAGTTGCGTAGTATCACAGATTAACTGAAGTTAAATATATGTCATTGAATGTTGCCTAACCACTCTGGAGATCAACGCGAGATCTGCAGGTCATTTGTCCGATCCGCTATCGGGTCGTAAATGTGCATTCCTGATGAGTTTTATAATACAACACGACAGTTGTCCACTCCTTTCTGGTTTTCAATAGTCACCTAAGATCGGTCTGTAATGTAAATTCATGATTTGATTACACTATAAATTTGAGTTAGTGAATTTGAGCAGTTCAAATATTATCTATTTCATGTCCCCATTTTTCTACTTTTGAAATAGAATTGTTCTCTAATTCAGTGCCTACATTCAGTTCCTACAGCTGGACAATCTTTTCATTGGTCTAGTGGAATCATGCTGTTTATATTCATTACTGTATGTTGTATATTCAGTATCTACCTGTTTAGACGTATCGGTATTCATAAATGTATTAAAATTCGACGACGTTATCAGCCATTCGATAGGTATCGTACATCACGTAAACGTAAAACAACATTATATCTTGGCAGCACAACCAGTACCACCGATATCGTGAACAATAATCATAATAATATCAACGAAGCCGAATCGTCATCGACAACTGATGACATTCCTGATAGTTTTCTGTCATCTGAGCCGCCAATCAAACGAACTGATGTTCATAATAATGATAATCTCACTTCGTTGCAAACTAGTGGACCAAGAAAGTTGAATAGTAGTAATGGTAATAATATGGTTCTTCCAACTAAATCAAATGATAAATTTACATTGTCAGCTTTAAACTTAAGTCGTACCGCTGCTTCAATTGGTTTTATGAATCCTATCTATGTACCATTGAACGATAAATATGCAGAAGATAATTATGATCCAGAGCCAATAAATTAAATCATCATTCGTACATTTTCTTGGTTGTTTATCTCTAAGATAAACATACAAATAAATAAACAGAAATATACGCGTATATTTTCCATGTCCATATCACAGTTTCAGTCTTTCGGTTATTGAATAAAGTAATTGTCAAAAAAATTTCCTGATGGTACATAGTAAATTACTCGATAACATCACTTAATTTTTCACGTCACCATACAGTAATCATCATTGTTTATGTTTCATTGCGCTTATTATGTTGCTTTTGTGCCTTTTTTGTGAATGAATATGTCGATATGAAAATATGAAACGACTTTATTATTATTATTATTATTACTATTAATGCGTAGTAGGCTCACTCCTTTTTTGCATTGCCAGTGTAATCAGATCTGCACATTCCTTTTCTGATTTCATGAAAAGCTTTTTTTCTCAGTTTCGTTATCCTCCTCACCCATTTCTCCTTCTTTGGGTGTGTGTATTTTCTTGCCTACCAAGGCGAAACTATTGCTATCGTTTTTCTTGTCCCTCGTACCCTGCCTTTCTAGTACTCATTCAACGTCTTTCTCATATATATATATATATATATATATATATATATATATATATAATACACATGCGCCCCTGTTCACTCACTCAGATAACTGAGTAGAACAGTTTCGCTCACATAACTCATGTATTCCTTTTTCATATTATTGTTTCCCACCACCATCCGTCTCTTCTGTTTAATTTATTTGGCTGTGCTGCATACCATTAGATAAGTAATATATTTTTGTTGAACTACTGAAATTATTGTATTTACTAATACAACATTCTGAACTCAGCAACTCACGAAAATTGCTGTTATGTTTAGTGATAGGTGTTTAATGAGAAAAAGAATCTCACGTTCAATCAAATACCTTCTAGCTGTGTTCAACTGAAAGGTTAGCTGAAGTGTTGAATATGTATTCAGCCGTGCGAATCAATACTTTAACAATCGCTGATAAATAAGAATTTCAGAAGCTTAACTGAGATATCTTTAAATCGTGAAATAACTCATCATTGACATGCTGTATATAGTCAGATTTAAGCTAAATACTTCCTTTGACATCTGGTGCATCATGAACAAGGTGAACTCGTTACTAGAGGTGTGTGGGTGATCCTTGCGTCTTGGTCACGTAAATTGCGGATTTGGCCTGACAATTTCATCTTGCTGTGCTAATGGGGTATGGCAGTTTGAACCAATATACATACGTACACCTTGCGACTGACAATGCGGAAGAATACTTCTTGAGGTACCTATAAACAAAACTTGTTTTGTAAGTAGTCTTTCTGACAATAAATGGTATCTGCAGAGGCAAAAGGATAACTAATCGAGGCCAGTCACACTTTTTTTCAAGTGGTCCTTGTTGCGTTAGCTCCGTACTTTTAAGTTCTTACTCCTGACAATCGAAGTCCGTGTTGCAAAGGGAATTATGGTATTTCCTGAAACTACGTTTTTAACCCGTTCTTTCCATTGTGCGAAGGCAGATACTTACTTCTGAGTGAAACGTGTTACTGCCATCACACTACAGAACAGTTTGATTTCGCCTTCGGCCCACGAGTTTTTTATTTTGCCACTTTCAAACTGAATACTTTGGTATAGTAGAAATTTTTGAAGTTGATGTTGTGGCACATTGTTGTTTGATTGGATCACCCCGATATGCAAACTCGACCCACAATTTAAGATAGTAGTTATGCTCAAGCCATCTATACTCACCATCCTTGGGACGTGAGTTGTATAGTGATTTATTTCATTGTTTCCTTAACTGACTGCAGTTAATGATGAAAATGAACTAGAAAAACCTTGATATTTATGATGTGAGAAAACAATTTTACTGCGTATATTCTTCTTTATAAACTGCATTAAATGCTTAAATATCTTGTGTGAGCTTATTATTTAACTATATCAACTGATATGACTCATACATTGCATTCTAAAAAAATACATTTGTATATGAAGTGTCCCGTTTTTACATCTTGTTTTTCGAGAACTGTATTTTTGTGGATAATCCAACAAACAAAAGTACTCATTTATTTAACTTCAGTTTAGGAATTATACTAACTATAATATTCAGTGAAAGGAATTTCGCAACTCCAATAAATATTGACTTGTGATCCGAGATAAGACGTTTTATATTTAAAAATTATTTCAATTAAACTATTTAGGTTATTTGGTTTAACTGGACTGAATTTCTTTGGAAAGCTACCTTATAAGCAAACGTATATCGTCAAACGGTGTGGTGAAGGTGATTTATATATAAACTATATTTTTAATTAAGCGACTAAACTAGCTTACCGAGTTGAGGTTAATCTCTCGACTTCAAGCAAGTCACGTTATCAAGGTTTTGACCTATTGGTCAGAGAGTTAAAATTTATACTTAGTCAGACTATTGATGTATATTGCTAAGTAGTCTGAATAATTCCAGCGAACCAATTTTCGTAATGATTGGCTAGTGACCATGAATGCTTTTGTTATCATGAACAAAGACTTACTTGGTTGCAGTTCACGTAAGATACGGAATTGATTGTTTCCCAGTTGCTTATAATATGCGATCACATTTCTGTTGTAACGGGTGGACTGCAGGTTTTGGTATAGCAGCGTATTTATCGACCGATTACAGTGGACACGCAAAACACGTAGCGGACGACCTAGTGCCCTGATTGGCCCTGCTTCGCTGTCTGTCCTAGCCAGTTGAGTCAAGAAAGTAAGTCACAGCCTCTGAGATATGAATCATTGTATTTCAGACATACTCTATTTATATACCAAACAAACAAACCACATCGTACCATAAAATAGAAAACAACATTTACACAATATTTAACAAGTGAAATAAACATCGACCAATAGGAAATGTACATTTAATGTCCAAGGCCACCTTAGATTTAGCACGATAATTATTGGTATATTTTTCCGACTATCCTAACAATTTTCAAAAAGTAATTTCGTAACAGTAAATTAGTCATATCTACTGTCTGTAGATGGTTATTTTTATGATATTGTAGAACTTCCTTTAATGCCATAAGTTATTGATTGGTTGAGTATATTACTCAGTACACAAATCCGACTGTTAATCAGTGTAGAACACTTCGATTTATTCTGGATGTCAAGTACATTCTTATATATCGTCTTCGTGTTTCTACGTATGCGGCGCATTTAACGAGTTCAAGGATCCAGTATTAGTTATATCCCATTATAACTATCGCTAACGTGTTTTGTAGAGTGAAACAAACCTGCAACCAGTTTGTGATTTCAGTATCAGCCAATTCAACTGCCTCGCAGTTATAATATTTCCGAACTGTAAATTTAGGTGGACTTAGTTGTATTTCCTATTTATGCCTAAAACGCTTTCCACGTCGCTGTTGTATATTTGTTAGGGTAACTTATTTTAATGATTCAAACCTCAGAGTATTTATCGTAATATTTCTGTTTATGATGGAACTGATATTCCTTGCTATCGTATAACGTGTGTTACAAAGCTTGTAGTAGCTGTTAACTTGATTACTAAGTAATGGCTAGCAGTGTAATCAAGTTATCAGGCGTCATTTAATTTGAAACACGTCACCTAAAATTGCCTACATTCCATCATTGCTATTTAAACCGAGACCCGAACATGGCACTTTGTGTTGCAAGCGCCAACGCGTTGTCTACTGAGTCCAGATAACCACAAGCTTGTAGAACGGGTTTGAACGTTTATTGGTTAGGGTTTGTATTTCCTTACTGTTGACATTACGGGCAGTAACTGATTAATCTTGGATCTCCATATTACCATCAACACTGAGATCTAGGTACATCCTGAAGATGATTCCCACAAAAGATACTCATCTCCTAAATTCCCTTGATAGCCAATGTCCAACTTAAAAATCTTGTGGATAAATGACTCTATCAAACTAATTTGCAATCCTAAATATAAATAACCGGACGATACAAACCTTCATAATTATTTGATCTAGTTATTTGTTCCTTCATTAAAATCACACAAATTTGTAAATGAAAACAGTTTGTAGTGCATTCTGAAATAATAGGTGGTATATAATTATTATGTTAAATAATTAAGTAATCCGAACTATTTTACAACATAGTGTAGTATATTCTGGAAATCTACAAATTTATAAACACATTGAGCCTAATATCAGAGGCTTTCTATAGGCTTTAACTACTTGTGTACTATTAAATTGACATTATTTTCCTTAATGTAATTTACAGTATGTTGTAAACGATCTTATCGCTTAATAAATATTAGTAGCACAACTCAAAATATACACTAAAAATTCACACATTTATTTCACTTTTGATTATCAATTGGTATTTCTACTTTTATCTAAATGTGTACTGTCAACTTCTCAATGTGTAGCTATCTTGGTTCATTTCCACAACGAATGAATTATAAAGCTGTGCTAACAATTATTCAAGTAACGAATTAGAAATTCTAAATTGGTGTGACAAAGTAATTTTCATAGAGATCAAACTAATTATCTAAACAGAAGACGAGTCCTTTACTAATTATGTTTATACATATTAACATAGTGTCGTTTAAATAATGAATAACTAGCAAAGAAGTAATAAATCGTGTCATACTTTTCTTAGTATTTAAACAGTCCTTATCGTTCTAAACAAAGTGATTCATCATTCAACTATCATATGCCTGTATATACATAAATGTTAGCTGCATCACTCCACAAAAAATAGCAACAAAGTGAAACCTATTTGCAACCCGATATATTTGACCTTCTTAGTCGTTGACTGGTAATTGTACGGACTTATGATTCCTTTGTACTTGAATGCGCACTGGTTACGAATTCAGAATATAATAGGTTCAGTTATAATCATCTAGTTCTACCTGCCTTAAAATGCACAATTTCAGGAACTCCTGGTTAGTACATTAACTTAAATATTTCCAACCATCATATTGACGTCACAGAAGGAGCTAGGAATCGGTCGTTTTGATATAGCATATTTAAGAACTTTGACCTAGCCAAATTTCATCGTGTATTTCTTCTTGACTGATCATGTACACCAACTCGTTTACCGGATAAAGAATCTGAATTGTAATGGAACATAACAAATTACTAAGCTTCCCCACTTTTTTCTAAGTGCTTCATTCATATCAAAGTCGTTACACAAAAGCATTGATGATACACTTATTTGAAACAGGACTCTAGCTCCTTTTCGACAATTCATCTGAAAATGTTTGAGTTGTAATAAGGAAAATATTGACAAAACGTAGA